GAATTCATGTGTATGTGTGACAGTGCATTCATGTGTATGTGTGACAGTGAATTCATGTGTATGTGTGACAGTGAATTCATGTGTATGTGTGACAGTGAATTCATGTGTATGTGTGACAGTGCATTCATGTGTATGTGTGACAGTGAATTCATGTGTATGTGTGACAGTGAATTCATGTGTATGTGTGACAGTGAATTCATGTGTATGTGTGACAGTGCATTCATGTGTATGTGTGACAGTGAATTCATGTGTATGTGTGACAGTGAATTCATGTGTATGTGTGACAGTGAATTCATGTGTATGTGTGACAGTGCATTCATGTGTATGTGTGACAGTGAATTCATGTGTATGTGTGACAGTGCATTTATGTGTATGTGTGACAGTGCATTCATGTGTATGTGTGACAGTGCATTCATGTGTATGTGTGACAGTGAATTCATGTGTATGTGTGACAGTGCATTCATGTGTATGTGTGACAGTGAATTCATGTGTATGTGTGACAGTGAATTCATGTGTATGTGTGACAGTGAATTCATGTGTATGTGTGACAGTGAATTCATGTGTATGTGTGACAGTGAATTCATGTGTATGTGTGACAGTGCATTCATGTGTATGTGTGACAGTGCATTCATGTGTATGTGTGACAGTGAATTCATGTGTATGTGTGACAGTGAATTCATGTGTATGTGTGACAGTGCATTCATGTGTATGTGTGACAGTGAATTCATGTGTATGTGTGACAGTGAATTCATGTGTATGTGTGACAGTGAATTCATGTGTATGTGTGACAGTGCATTCATGTGTATGTGTGACAGTGAATTCATGTGTATGTGTGACAGTGCATTCATGTGTATGTGTGACAGTGAATTCATGTGTATGTGTGACAGTGAATTCATGTGTATGTGTGACAGTGAATTCATGTGTATGTGTGACAGTGCATTCATGTGTATGTGTGACAGTGAATTCATGTGTATGTGTGACAGTGCATTCATGTGTATGTGTGACAGTGAATTCATGTGTATGTGTGACAGTGAATTCATGTGTATGTGTGACAGTGAATTCATGTGTATGTGTGACAGTGCATTCATGTGTATGTGTGACAGTGAATTCATGTGTATGTGTGACAGTGCATTTATGTGTATGTGTGACAGTGAATTCATGTGTATGTGTGACAGTGAATTCATGTGTATGTGTGACAGTGAATTCATGTGTATGTGTGACAGTGCATTCATGTGTATGTGTGACAGTGAATTCATGTGTATGTGTGACAGTGCATTCATGTGTATGTGTGACAGTGAATTCATGTGTATGTGTGACAGTGAATTCATGTGTATGTGTGACAGTGAATTCATGTGTATGTGTGACAGTGAATTCATGTGTATGTGTGACAGTGAATTCATGTGTATGTGTGACAGTGAATTCATGTGTATGTGTGACAGTGCATTCATGTGTATGTGTGACAGTGAATTCATGTGTATGTGTGACAGTGCATTCATGTGTATGTGTGACAGTGAATTCATGTGTATGTGTGACAGTGAATTCATGTGAATGTGTGACAGTGAATTCATGTGTATGTGTGACAGTGAATTCATGTGTATGTGTGACAGTGAATTCATGTGTATGTGTGACAGTGAATTCATGTGTATGTGTGACAGTGAATTCATGTGTATGTGTGACAGTGAATTCATGTGTATGTGTGACAGTGAATTCATGTGTATGTGTGACAGTGCATTCATGTGTATGTGTGACAGTGAATTCATGTGTATGTGTGACAGTGAATTCATGTGTATGTGTGACAGTGAATTCATGTGTATGTGTGACAGTGAATTCATGTGTATGTGTGACAGTGAATTCATGTGTATGTGTGACAGTGAATTCATGTGTATGTGTGACAGTGAATTCATGTGTATGTGTGACAGTGCATTCATGTGTATGTGTGACAGTGCATTCATGTGTATGTGTGACAGTGAATTCATGTGTATGTGTGACAGTGCATTCATGTGTATGTGTGACAGTGAATTCATGTGTATGTGTGACAGTGCATTCATGTGTATGTGTGACAGTGAATTCATGTGTATGTGTGACAGTGAATTCATGTGTATGTGTGACAGTGAATTCATGTGTATGTGTGACAGTGAATTCATGTGTATGTGTGACAGTGAATTCATGTGTATGTGTGACAGTGAATTCATGTGTATGTGTGACAGTGAATTCATGTGTATGTGTGACAGTGCATTCATGTGTATGTGTGACAGTGCATTCATGTGTATGTGTGACAGTGAATTCATGTGTATGTGTGACAGTGCATTCATGTGTATGTGTGACAGTGAATTCATGTGTATGTGTGACAGTGAATTCATGTGTATGTGTGACAGTGAATTCATGTGTATGTGTGACAGTGAATTCATGTGTATGTGTGACAGTGAATTCATGTGTATGTGTGACAGTGAATTCATGTGTATGTGTGACAGTGAATTCATGTGTATGTGTGACAGTGAATTCATGTGTATGTGTGACAGTGCATTCATGTGTATGTGTGACAGTGCATTCATGTGTATGTGTGACAGTGAATTCATGTGTATGTGTGACAGTGCATTCATGTGTATGTGTGACAGTGAATTCATGTGTATGTGTGACAGTGAATTCATGTGTATGTGTGACAGTGAATTCATGTGTATGTGTGACAGTGAATTCATGTGTATGTGTGACAGTGAATTCATGTGTATGTGTGACAGTGAATTCATGTGTATGTGTGACAGTGAATTCATGTGTATGTGTGACAGTGAATTCATGTGTATGTGTGACAGTGCATTCATGTGTATGTGTGACAGTGCATTCATGTGTATGTGTGACAGTGAATTCATGTGTATGTGTGACAGTGAATTCATGTGTATGTGTGACAGTGAATTCATGTGTATGTGTGACAGTGAATTCATGTGTATGTGTGACAGTGAATTCATGTGTATGTGTGACAGTGAATTCATGTGTATGTGTGACAGTGAATTCATGTGTATGTGTGACAGTGAATTCATGTGTATGTGTGACAGTGAATTCATGTGTATGTGTGACAGTGAATTCATGTGTATGTGTGACAGTGAATTCATGTGTATGTGTGACAGTGAATTCATGTGTATGTGTGACAGTGAATTCATGTGTATGTGTGACAGTGAATTCATGTGTATGTGTGACAGTGAATTCATGTGTATGTGTGACAGTGAATTCATGTGTATGTGTGACAGTGAATTCATGTGTATGTGTGACAGTGAATTCATGTGTATGTGTGACAGTGAATTCATGTGTATGTGTGACAGTGCATTCATGTGTATGTGTGACAGTGCATTCATGTGTATGTGTGACAGTGAATTCATGTGTATGTGTGACAGTGCATTCATGTGTATGTGTGACAGTGAATTCATGTGTATGTGTGACAGTGCATTCATGTGTATGTGTGACAGTGAATTCATGTGTATGTGTGACAGTGAATTCATGTGTATGTGTGACAGTGAATTCATGTGTATGTGTGACAGTGAATTCATGTGTATGTGTGACAGTGAATTCATGTGTATGTGTGACAGTGAATTCATGTGTATGTGTGACAGTGAATTCATGTGTATGTGTGACAGTGCATTCATGTGTATGTGTGACAGTGCATTCATGTGTATGTGTGACAGTGAATTCATGTGTATGTGTGACAGTGCATTCATGTGTATGTGTGACAGTGAATTCATGTGTATGTGTGACAGTGCATTCATGTGTATGTGTGACAGTGAATTCATGTGTATGTGTGACAGTGAATTCATGTGTATGTGTGACAGTGAATTCATGTGTATGTGTGACAGTGAATTCATGTGTATGTGTGACAGTGAATTCATGTGTATGTGTGACAGTGAATTCATGTGTATGTGTGACAGTGCATTCATGTGTATGTGTGACAGTGCATTCATGTGTATGTGTGACAGTGAATTCATGTGTATGTGTGACAGTGAATTCATGTGTATGTGTGACAGTGAATTCATGTGTATGTGTGACAGTGAATTCATGTGTATGTGTGACAGTGAATTCATGTGTATGTGTGACAGTGAATTCATGTGTATGTGTGACAGTGAATTCATGTGTGTGTGTGACAGTGAATTCATGTGTATGTGTGACAGTGAATTCATGTGTATGTGTGACAGTGGATTCATGTGTATGTGTGACAGTGAATTCATGTGTATGTGTGACAGTGAATTCATGTGTATGTGTGACAGTGAATTCATGTGTATGTGTGACAGTGAATTCATGTGTATGTGTGACAGTGAATTCATGTGTATGTGTGACAGTGAATTCATGTGTATGTGTGACAGTGAATTCATGTGTATGTGTGACAGTGCATTCATGTGTATGTGTGACAGTGCATGCATGTGTATCAACATCTGGGTCGCTCTCGCCGTCAACATGTGCGTACATCAATGTGTGTACTTGTCTGCGGTCGTGTCGACGTGTATGATTTCATCCCCCGCTTGCTGCAACAGCTAGAGCGTAGCTCATCCCTGTGCACAGGGTCCCAGAAAGATCCCATGTCTCTGCTCTTCTGTGCGCTGCCCTGCTCTTCTGTGCGCTGCTCTGCTCTTCTGTGCGCTGCTCTGCTCTTCTGTGCGCTGCTCTGCTCTTCTGTGCGCTGCTCTGCTCTTCTCTTCTCTGCTCTCCTCTTCTCTTCTCTGCTCTGCTCTGCTCTGCTCTGCTCTACTCTTCTATTCTCTTCTCTGCTCTGCTCTGCTCTGCTCTCCTCTGCTCTTCTCTTCCCTGCTCTGATCTGCTCTGCTCTGCTGTGCTCTGCTGTGCTCTGCTCTATCCAATCATGGTGCATCGATCTCTGTATGTGCTGCTCAGGACAGGCACATGTGCATTGGCTGCTTGGCTGGTGTGGCTGATCAGATCAATGTGGTCAACGCAAGTCAACCCAATCTCCCACCCCCATCCATCTCTGTGTCAGGTTGTACGCGCGGCGCCACGAGTACCGAATGGTGGTGGAGAACGGATCCAAGTACACCCCAGACAGACACCCGTCGTGGTTCAAGGTGAGGGGGTTACCACCCAGGGTAAGGTGCCACTCAAGTGAGGTGCCAGGAGTGAGGTGCCACGAGCGAGGTGCCACGAGTGAGGTGCCACGAGTGAGGTGCCACGAGCGAGGTGCCACGAGTGAGGTGCCACGAGTGAGGTGCCACGAGTGAGGTGCCACGAGTGAGTGTGTGTGCAGTACAGTGGATACAATGCAGTGCATCGATGCAGTGCAGTACACGATTCCTCACGCTCATCAATGCACGCGTGAGTGTCTAACCACCTCTAACCGCCTGGGAGAAATGTTCTCTCATTGACTGCACCCCCTCTCCCCTTGCATGGCGTGCACACATGGCCCACTGCAGGTGCCGTTGCTACAGTCACAGCTGGCGTGTTGCTGCGAGTGGGCCTTCTTTCTTGATTCCGATGCCTACATGCGCATGGACCACCACCGCCTCTCCATCCCCACCTGGATCCAAACCATCAAGCAACCTGTCAGTGTCTGCTCGCTTCGTCTTCAACCCTGCGACAGCCTGTTCTTTGCTCTGGTTTCAAATGTTTGAGATTCTTTTTTCTTGAGCGAAGAATGTCTCCCTACCACAAGAGGTAAGGTGCCAACGAATTCTTGAAGAGTCAGGGGTAGGTCACGCTCACCAGACCTTAAGTGTGGTTGATTCGTTCCCTCTCTACCCCGCCTCAATGCTCCTCACCCTTCCTCACCCATCAGCAGCACCCCTTCTCTCCACTGCCTTCCCAAAGACGCTTTATGTGCATATGGTCGCACATCTGGTGTCGTGCCCATCACACCTGGCGTCGTGCCCATCACACCTGGCGTCGTGCCCATCACACCTGGCGTCGTGCCCATCACACCTGGCGTCGTGTCCATCACATCTGGCATGGCATTTTCTCCATCCAAACCGCGCGCATTCCGCATCAGTAGTGCCGATCCACAACAGGGCACCGCACCTGGCGAGCAATCGCAGGGCCGCCCGCTTGGACCCATGCCGAACCTGTTCATCATAGGCTGAACCAGGAGGCTCGGGAGATTGATTTTTTCTCCCCCTACTGGACCCTGCTGTGCTGCTCCAGCCAGCCACTGCGCTACAGCCGGAGGGGCCTGTGGTTCTGATCTCACCCCCATCTCACCCCCATCTCACCCCCATCTCACCCCCATCTCACCCCCATCTCACCCCCATCTCACCCCCATCTCACCCCCATCTCACCCCCATCTCACCCCCATCTCACCCCCATCTCACCCCCATCTCACCCCCATCTCACCCCCATCTCACCCCCATCTCACCCCCATCTCACTCCCTCTTGTGTGTGCCCCTTGTGTATCCCTCTTGTGTGTGCCCCTTGTATATCCCTCTTGTGTGTGCCCCTTGTGTATGCCTCCTCTGTCTGCCCCTTGTGTATGCCTCCTCTGTCTGCCCCTTGTGTATGCCTCCTCTGTCTGCCCCTTGTGTATGCCTCCTCTGTCTGCCCCTTGTGTATGCCTCCTCTGTCTGCCCCTTGTGTATGCCTCCTCTGTCTGCCCCTTGTGTATGCCTCCTCTGTCTGCCCCTTGTGTATGCCTCCTCTGTCTGCCCCTTGTGTATGCCTCCTCTGTCTGCCCCTTGTGTATGCCTCCTCTGTCTGCCCCTTGTGTATGCCTCCTCTGTCTGCCCCTTGTGTATGCCTCCTCTGTCTGCCCCTTGTGTATGCCTCCTCTGTCTGCCCCTTACCTCCTGCAGAACTACTTTGACTGGCTGCTGAGGGACAATCTCACCGACACTCTGGAGGGGCAGGTGTGGCTCCCACAGGACCCCGCCCTGCTGCTACAGCCCGCCACCGCGCTACAGCCGGAGGGGCCCGTGGTTCTGATACCAAGGAATGGCGACTCGAGGGAGGGGTTCTTTGGGGATGCGGAGGCGCTGTTCCGCAAGGACACGGACTATGTGAATGCGGGCGTGATGCTGTGGCGCCGATCGCCCGCCACCTTCAAGGTGGGTACGGGAGGGGAGAGAGAGCCTTGGGGTCGGAAAAGCAGGTTTGGGTTTGTTTGGAGAAGCGGAGATGGCAATGGGTGTGGGGGATGGCAATGGGTGTGGGGGATGGCAATGGGTGTGGGGGATGGCAATGGGTGTGGGGGATGGCAATGGGTGTGGGGGATGGCAATGGCCGTGACAAGTGGAAAGTGAGTGAGGGAATGATTGGCCGTGGGGTGTTGTTGGGTACAGGTGAGTGGATGGCACGTGTGGGGATTACAAGGGGCGTCAACATGCTCTCAAGGGAAGAGAGGGAGCGGTGGTGTGCGGTCGAGGTGGCTTTATAGTTTTTATCACTGTGGGAGAGGCGCCGTTTGGAGGAGGTAATCCGACAGCTTCAAGCTCGCATCAGAAGCAGGTCCTTTTTTCCAGGCCGTTGCAGAATCAGGTGTCCTTCTAAGCCTTCACTCCAGTTGTGTTGGTGATTCAAATCATTGCCTTCTCTTTGCCCTTCCCATTGTCTCTCTCCCTCTCACATACACTATCATTCCACTGCTCTTGTCCCCTTCCCTCCCTCGGCCCTCCCAGTTCCTCCGGCAGTGGTACGGCGAGTACAGCGGCGACTACCACCTGTACGGCCACGTGTGGGAGCAGGACCGCCTCAACAAGGTGGCGCGCTGGCCGCACTGGCGGGGGCGGGTGATCCTGGTGCCCCACCAGGAGCTCACAGGGCCCCAGGGGGCCATGGTGCGCCATGTGTGGGGGGGCGTTGCAAGCGAGGAGCGCGACAGGGTGTTGTATGCGGCCCTGGAGGAGGCACTAGGTAGCCTGCAGCAAGGGCAGTAAGGGCAGTAAGAACAGTGGCGGGGGAGGGTGATTCTGGTGCCCCGTTCGAGCTCACGGATCCCGATGGGGCCATGGTGCGGCATCTGTGGGTTGCCCAGGGCCCTGGAGGAGGCACTGGGCAGCCTGCTCTGAGGACACCGCGCAGTGGCGGGCAGTAAGAGGCAGTAAGGGGCAGTAAGTGGGCTTGAATGGGCTTTCTTGGGTAAGGCAATGCCGTGAAGGAGTCCCGGCTCGTGCGTTGTGCGTGCAGCCGCGTGTGTGGGTGATGTGCCACAGGACGCATGCCACACACAGCGTGGTGGTTGAGGTGCTGGAGGGGGGGGAGATGCTGGGTGGTGCCATTACAGCCTCCGGCATACCTTTGACTCATCTGGGTGAGGTGCCGGAGGAGATGCTGTTACAGCCCCCAGCAAGTGCCGTGCGTGGGAAGTTTCGATAGAGAGCGTTGCTTTGAAAGGAGAGCGTTGTGAGAAGTGATATGGGAGGCATTGGAAGGAAGGTGCTGGTTTCGCCACACTGCGGTGTTGTCTGTGGGTCATGTGTGGGGAGTGGTGGCAGGATCTGATCCGTGGCCACATGCTTGCAGAAGCGTTACGGTTTCTGCATTGCATTGCATGGCTGCTATTCTTTAGCGGGTGTTTGTAAGTTCCGCTACGCTACCTTGTATGTACGTAAGTGAAACTCCACCTTATCTATGCTAGTTCGTAGGTAATATTTGCACTACATGCAGCATTTAGTACGGCACTCGTGTGATGGTTTATCAAGTTTTCTTGATATTTTTGTAACGAGTATTGGTTGGTACAATACGTTGTAACTGCTTCCAAAGCAATCTAGCTGCTTGGGGAGAGGCATAATGGGCACCCTTCCTCCATGCACACTCCGTAGTGTAATTTTGTGTTGGTTGCAAGATCTCTTCACTTCACTCACGCATTCCCATTCCCCCCATTCCCTTCACCTCTCTCAGGGTACATTCCGCTCTGGACATGTCCCAATAGAAAGTGTCCCAATCGATTCTACCGCACTGCATCTTATTACACCGAATTACACCCTAGTTTCACACATTGTCAAATTTTTCGCGTCTCTGGTTTAGTTCGGTTCGGAGCGGTACACCCAATTGGGACATGTACTTTTGGGACATGTCCAGAGCGGAATGTACCCTCAGTCACACTCCCCGCATTTTTATTGCCTGCGTTGTGGGAGCATGCTCTTTCAGCAATCTGACTAAATAAATAGAAGGTGGGAAAAGATCACCCTGACAGACATGTCGACACCAGGTCACCGAATACAACTCAAGATGAAGCATGGCCGAGCGGCAAAGGGGTAATTCCCTTGCTGTGTTGTTCCCCTCCTCCCTCCCCTCTCCCTCGACTTCCCCCCCTGCATGGGACCGTTTTCCAGGCATGGCATTCCCCGAAAAAAACATCCAGACGCGTCTGGCTAAAACACCGAGGAGGAAGAACTTTTGAATGTCAGGACAGAGTCCTCACAGCAACCAGCAATTGAGGCAATCATGGTGTTTTATCCTTATGATTTAGGGTATGGAACTTCTATGAGGCTGCAAATGCAACTGATTCTGGCAGCCGAAACGACGCACACAGCATGCCCTGTAAGACCCTGCAGGGGAGATAAGTGGAGAAGAGGAAACATATTAGGTCAGTCTTCGTTGTCACTTGGACGCAAGTGAGGTGCGTCTCGGCTCGGGTGTCATAGGAGCACTAACAAAACAGGCAGACGAGATTGCAGCTGCCCAGAACCACATTCATCTGCACAGCGAATCCCTCTAGCACAGAAGCTGAAGAGACAGCACAACACACCCTAAGCACGCCCCCGTCACACCCCCTTCCACCCCCAGAACACCCTGGTGCTGCAAGCACTGCCACGTGGCGTCACCTTATTGGGCGCCACGTTCCTGACAGGGTGGATGGACAGCGTGGCCGCATCCACAGCAGCGCCCAGGTGCCGCTCCACCTACTGCTCACAAGCAAGCACGCAAGCAGGTAACGGAGGCAAGTAACGCACGGGGGACTCGTGCACACTGGCATGGTGGCGTATGAGTTGACTCAAAAGGCACCTCGCATCCACAGCAGCGCCCAGGTGTCGCTCCACCTCCTGCTCACAGGCAAGCACGCAAGCAGGTAACAGAGGCAAGTAACGCATGGGGGACCCGTGCACACGGGCATGGTGGCGTTTGAGTCGACACAGAACGCACCTCGCATCCACAGCAGCGCCCAGGTGCTGCTCCACCTCCTGCTCACAGGCAAGCACGCAAGCAGGTAACGGAGGCAAGAAACGCATGGAGGACTCTTACACACGTGGTGGCGTTTGAGTCGACTCAAAAGGCACCTCGCATCCACTGCAGCGCCCAGGTGCCGCTCCACCTCCTGCTCACAGGCAAGCACGCAAGCAGGTAACGGAGGCAAGCAACGCATGGGGGACTCGTGCACACAGGCATGGTGGCGTTTGAGTCGACTCAAAAGGCACCTCGTATCCACTGCAGCGCCCAGGTGCCGCTCCACCTCCTGCTCACAGGCAAGCACGCAAGCAGGTAGGCAAGTAACACATAGGGGACTCGTGCACACGGACATGGTGGCGTTTGAGTCGACTCAAAAGGCACCTCGCATCCACTTCAGCGCCCAGGTGCCGCTCCACCTCCAGCTCACAGGCAAGCACGCAAGCAGGTAACGGAGGCAAGTAACGCATGGGGGACTCGTGCACACGGGCATGGTGGCGTTTGAGTCGACTCAAAAGGCACCTCGCATCCACTGCAGCGCCCAGGTGCCGCTCCACCTCCTGCTCACAGGCAAGCACGCAAGCAGGTAGCGGAGGCAAGTAACGCATGGGGGACTCGTGCACACGAGCATGGTGGCGTTTGAGTCGACTCAAAAGGCACCTCGCATCCACTGCAGCACCCAGGTGCTGCTCCACCTCCTGCTCACAAGCAAGCACGCAAGCAGGTAATGGAGGCAAGTAACGCATGGGGGACTCGTGCACACAGGCATGGTGGCGTTTGAGTCGACTCAAAAGGCACCTCGTATCCACTGCAGCGCCCAGGTGCCGCTCCACCTCCTGCTCACAGGCAAGCACGCAAGCAGGTAGGCAAGTAACGCAGGGGGGACTCGTGCACACGGGCATGGTGGCGTTTGAGTCGACTCAAAAGGCACCTCGCATCCACTTCAGCGCCCAGGTGCCGCTCCACCTCCTGCTCACAGGCACGCAAGCAAGCAAGCAAGCAACGGAGGCAAACATCAATTATAAGCATGAGTCGACTGAACGGAGGGACTCATGCAGGCCCGCATGGTGACGTTTGAGACAAGTCATCTCGCATACACTGGGAAGCCCAGGTGCCGCTCCACCTCCTGCTCTCCCACACAAGCAGTGCAGGCATGAGGGATAAGCAGTGCAGGCAAGTAGTGCACGCAAGCATCATGGGAGCAAGGTAGCATGGGAGCATGGGATGGGAGCATGGGAGCATGGGTTGGGAGAATGAGATGGGACTATGGGAGCATGGGATGGGAGCATGGGAGCATGGGAGCATGGGAGCAAGGGAGCATGGGAGCAAGGGAGCATGGGATGGGAACGTGGGAGCATGGGGGCATGGGAGCATGGGGTCATGGGAGCATGGGAACATGGGAGCATGGGAGAACGGGAGCACGTCATCATGGGAGCATGGAGGCATGGGCGCAGGGGAGCAGGGGAGCACATGCACATTTGCTTGACACTGGCATGCAGATGGCTGCATCCCCACCCCACCTGCACCACTGCCTCTTCCCCCTCTCTCTCACCTGCACCGCCGCCTGCCCCCCTCCCACCCACCTGCATGACGGCCTCAGCAGTGGCGGTGTTCTGCATGTACCTGACGAGGGAGGGAGAACGATGGGAGAAGGTAAATGACAATGTTTCCTGCGTTGTTTCCATCGGAGACATCCCCCCAGCTCGCTACAACCGTAAATGGGGGAGAAGGCTCCGACGGTAAATGAAGGACTTCCCATACAGCTTCGCCAGCCCAAGGGACGGGTAGATGACTAGGCGCGAATGAAGAACGAGGGTATGTATGATTCCTTTGTGTGTTCTGAAGGAAAAAAAGAGGCCCAACACACACAACTCCCTTTCACGAACCACGTAACCTCAAATTTCCCAACAGCTAGCCAACACACATGAGATCAGCACCATGGATAGCAATTGTTTTAATCCGCTATTAGTAGTTTGCAAGAACCACAAAGAGAAGCACGTTAACCAGCCGTTACGACCTTCATTAGCAATATCCTAGGGGACGTTCTTGGCAATTTCTGGCAATCTACCATCCTCTACACCGTGATAAAATCTGCCAGAGGATTCCTGCGAAACCCTAAACACGATTTAGGCAGAGGAGATTTTGCCTATGCAACGCACCTTTTAGTCATCCCGGCCGTGCTTACGGAGTCATGCGCATGGAACCACCCTTAGTATTAAAGCTGGTCAGTATCCTTGTGGAGAAAAGCCTGTTGGCCGGTGGCCGCAGTGTGAGCCCTGAAGAGCAGGTTTTGACCTTCCTCCAATTTGTAGGTCAAGCTGCATCCAACAGATCATTGCAAGAAGCATGGCAGCGGAGCGGGAGTCGCGTGAGTCAAACCATTCAGGACGTTGTACTAGCAGTTTGTGGCCTCTACGACAATTACATCAGCATGCCCACTCTTGCCGATGACTCCTTCATAGGATCCAACCCCCATTACAGACACTTCAGTGGAGCTATTGGCGCAGTGGATGGAACCCTCATCCCAGCATGCATTCGATGGAGCGAGCAGCAATCTTGGCTGGACTGGCATAAGAATGTTTCCCAAAATGTTCTTGCTGCGGTCTCACTCAAAGGTGAATTTATCTACCTCCTGGTCGGCTGGCAGGGCTCCACACATGACTCTACCCTGTTCCATGATGCAATTAACCGTGGACTGACGCTTCTTGCAAACACTTTCCTGCTGGCCGATTCCGGCTTTCGTAACGACATAAACCCGTTGGCCCCATACAGATCCCAAATGTATCATCTGGAGAGGTGGCAGGAATCTGGTTTCACCCCCCAAAATAAGGAGATGTTCAATAGAGTGCATTCTGGTTTAAGGTCGATTGTAGAGCGCGCATTTGGGCAGTTGAAGGCGCGCTTCCCTATATTGTGCGTCATGCGGCCTTACTCAAACTCCATCCAAT